TTGCAATGGACAAAGACAATGTCAAGGTAAAAAAATAAAATAAAATACTGGAAGGTCGATCCAACGTAAAGCATGTATCTCCAAATAATGCGGTTATTCTTTTTAATTAAAAAAAAACCTGCAACATTAGAAAACGATGTATTTTTAACCTACAAAAAATGTCTTGAAACTCAATCAATGGTTAAAACTAACACACATCACACCCACATGGGTTGTCATGTAAACTAGTGTGTCTGTGTACGTGGGTGTGTGTCTCTTTCCGTCAAATGAAGGTCTCTTTGTTGACCCACATGAGCGTACGTGTGTCGTTGGGTTTGCACTCGTACTCGATGGTGTTGAAGCTGTTGCCCCACTGGCAGTGATCCCGCTTGTTGTAGTTGTAGTATTTCACCTGCCACACCGTCTCAAACGTGCCCGCCTCGCTGAACTGTGGCACACAAACACAAATGCTTGAAATTGCCTTGTTTGTCCTGCAATTGGCTGGCGACCCATCCAGGATGTACCCCGAGCTCTGGCCTGTGCAACTCCAAACTATTGAAACCTCGCAAATGATGCCTACTGCCTCTAAAAGGTTGCTTTTCCTCTGGTGCGGTATTTTACTGTGCATCAAATTAAAAGGACGAGATCTTTTTAATCATATATGTGGCAGTCGTCAAGATAAAATGAATGAGAAATAAGACACAAAATGATTTCTATTTAACTACACCACTTGCCCTTTCAAGTTAATGTGATGTGTACCTGGATGCTGATCTGAAGGGGCTGCCTCTCGCCACTCTTTGTGTGCGCCACGCCCTCGGTGTCATATAAGCCGGTGTAGACCACCGACTGAGGGTCTTTGGACTGCCGCTCCAGGGCGAAGGTGACTCCGCCGAGGCTCATCGACCTGCCGAGCCAAGAAAAAGATAGATTGAACACTGGTTGATGCCATTTGGAGTCTATTTTAGTTTTTTACACAGTACTTAGTGGTTAGCAAGTCTGCCTCACGTTGCAGAGGTCCGGGGTTCGAGTCCAGCCCCAGGCTTCCTGTGTGGAGTTTGTTCTGGGTACTCCGGTTACCTCCCACATTCGAAAAACATGCAGGGTAGGTTGAGTGAATACTCTAAATTGTAACTGGGTGTGATTGTGAGCACAAATAGTTTTTTATCTGTGTCCCCTGCGATTGGTTGACAACCAGTTCACGCTGCTGTCCTCAGATGGCTGGGATAGGCTCCAGCACACCCGCGACC